GTTGTGAGGGCGTTAGACATTTTGTCACTTTCTTTTCTACAGTACAAAACTTTATTCGCGCGAAAAACAACAGCAGGAAGTCGATCGATTTCCGTCTTACACTCTCGGCCTAGGCCTATACCGTAGAAAGTAGGTAGAAGCTTATAGGCCTAGGCCTATATGTAAAATTTCCTTTTTCTTTTAATAAGCAGATATTAATTAATTCAAAGTAAGTTCTACTACCTAATCTATTCAAGAGAACGTGTTATGTACACTTTCCCTCCTCTTTCTGTCAGTTGAGCCAGCATATGCAAGAGGCCAGCTAGGCGTCTAGTAGGGGCCTCTGGTACTGCTGGTAGTGTCGCTGAACCTACTAGGCCTGGTCTAGGTCTACAGCTGGGCCTAGAAGTAGTAGTAGGCCCTAATAAGCCTACACTAACTAGCTAAGGCCTAGACATCCAGCCTAGGGTTTAGAAAGCAAACTTAATTTAAAACAATTAGGCCTAGGGGCCTAGGCCTATATCTGCTTAATTTAAAAAAAAAATAAATGTTCATCAATGGTGAAACAAAAATGCACAATAAAAATTCTTATGAAAAACATTTCTTTTATTTTAATTAACTTATTATTATAACCAAACTTTTAAAAATGTTTAATACGTTCATTTCAGTTGCATATCAGATTTGGTCGCTTAACCAAAATTTAAGTTGATCTTTTTAATAGGTCTAATTATAAAAGTTTGATAATAGGTTCACTGAAGTTGAATATCAGATTTGTTAACATAATTAAAATTAAGTTGACACATTGCTGGACATTCCACAAAAAGTACTCTGAGAAAGTAAGTTATTATGTTTTATGCTAATCTATGTTTAGCCAATACATATACATTTAATTATTAGTTTAAACAAAGCAATTGTATCTGTTTAATTTAAAAATTAAATTAAAATTGATTACTGGTGAAATGGAAAGTGTTGTATGCACAATAAAGTTCTTATTTTCTTTGATAAATTCTCTCATGATTAAATTTTGTTTAATAGGTCTAATAATTATAATTTGTTAATAATAGGTTCATTGAAGTTGAATATCAGATTTGTTTACGTAATTAAAATTAATTTGATATATTGCTGGACATTCCATTTTTTATGCAGAATATTTTATTTTATGTGATAAATTATCTTATTATTTAAATAATTATTTTTTTTAATAGGTCTTAATTAAAATTTGTTAATAGGTTCATTGAAGTTGAATATCAAATTTGGTAATTAAAATTAAGTTGATATATTGCTGGACATTCTATTTCTTATGCAGAATATTTCATTTTATTTGATAAATTATCTTATTATTATAATTAATTTTTTTAATAGGTCAAATACTTAAAATTTGTTAATAGATTCATTGAAGTTGAATATCCACTTCCAAAAAAGTACACTGTGATATTGGTAACGTTTCAATTAAAGATGATTGACATTTCCAGGAATCCACTGCAAAAGTAAGTTTAATCTTAATTTATGTTTAGCCAATACATAAAAACATTTACACCTTTCATTATTGATTTTTTTAAATGATTTTATTTGATGTTTTTTCTTAAAATTTTGTATACAGAATCGATTAATCAAATTATAAGTGAATTCTCATTCACAGAAGCTTCTACAAACTTTATTCTTGGACCCCCACAAAGTCTTACACTCACCGATTGTTAAAATGACAATTTAAAAAAAATTATGGTCTACTTTTAAACTTATGTAATTTTTAGACTTTTTGTACATTGAAAAGGGCAGAAGAATGGGAACTTAATGAATGCAGTCTTCTATTCATATCTTTTAAAGTTAGCATTAAAATTTGGTTATAAATATGTATCCAATATTTTTTTTAATTAGTCACGCAAATAAATATTTGTTTTGTACAAGTTTATAACCTTTAACCGTTGTATTTTTCTTATAATTTCAGTACCTGACTATACTAGCATTGTCTCTTGCACTGGATGTATTAGTCATGTCACATAGTGTACAGTTTGCAGCCAAAACTGTTGAACAGTTTCAGATTAATGAAGCCTTAGAAGTACATTGGTCTGTACTACATAACATATATAATGCACATACGCCAGACATCCCTTCCGTAATTTTAACTTCACTTTTAATAGATGAAAGTGATTTTTTTATTGTAATATTGTCAAAGAAAGTGTGCTTTGAATATGTGCGATATAAAACATTTGTACCTTCTGCCATGTGGTGTTTAAAAACAAATACAGTTTAAAGCGTGCTATTACTGTTCATGGATTAACAGTTGCTAGTTACACATTTTGGTGTACATGATATTGAAAGATTTAAAAAAGATAACGTGATGCTTGTGGGACATTCACATTCTGTATCACCTATATATCTTACTCTTTTTTTTTTAAACATCATAATTGTTTTTAGAGTGATAGGCCTTTGTCTACCATGCTCATTTGAGCCACTGAGCTTGTACAGGAATGCAGACTCTCAGATATATATCTGTCTCTTATACACATCTAGATGGGTATAAGAGACAGGGCCTAGGCCTACCTGAGCCTAAATACTGTAAACCAGAAACTTTCGCGAATTGATAATTTCGGCCGTTTTCGCGACATTAAACTTTCGCGAATCTCAAAAAGCCTAAATTTAATTCATGAGAGGAATATCATACAATAGCTGAAAATATCGTAT